GTGACATTCGTCTATCCTGGCCTGAAAGGAGACGCTACCGGTAGACTGCAGCGAGAACTGCCAGCATCTGAGCCAGCCAGACTCTGTCTCTCTCATCATGGTCACCTAAATGCACAGTAATGGCAGGTTTTGCAATAAGGCAGATCGCTCTAACATAATATGCACTGTTAGTAGATTATTTACCTGCCGCATTAACGGGAGAGGACGTGCAAACGTTACCGCTGCTGCTGGGTTGAGATTCACGAGTCCGGAGCGGAATTAAAAACACGACATTCATATAAGGTCATCGTGTGTTTTGTGAGCAAATGCTTTTGCATATTCGTAGTGTTTCCTCCCTGCAAGTATTGAAGTTGCCCTGTTGTCATCCGTTCTCGTAAAGTATAACCAAACTTTTGAGCGTTTGAGCCGCCATGTTTCCTGCCAGGTAAATGATGCAACGTGGTGACATCATTCGGGGCGACTGGAATCGATAAGGGAATCGTTTGCAAAAATGGCAAACAATTCCAAGGAATTGAAACAGTGGGAACCGGTTCTCAACAAGAACCGGGTTTCGATACCCATCCCTAGGAGAGATAGTCTCGATTTGCTAGAGAACACCAGGATCCTTTTCTAAGTAGCTGACAGCTGGTAAATGGTAACATTTAGTATACACATCCAGAAAAAATTTTTTTTGCATATACTATTATATATTGTACATATATTTATTAGTTTCAGATTTAGCCATTCGTATATTTTGCCTGTTTACATTATTGTATTTTGCACAACTCTGTTGCTTGTGAAGCTCGCACACAAGAATTTCACTCGCATGTGCTGTACCAATGTACCTGCACATGTGATGTGACAATAAAAGTGATTTGATTTGATTTGATTTCAAATGTGCAGGGGTGGAACTAGCAAAGTTTTGCCAGGGGGCCAGGTAGGGCATTAACAGGGAGAGGGGGGCACAAAGAAATACTTTATTTTCTTATTCGCATTTGAAATGTCTAGCTTTAATAAATAACTATCTGGATCTTACAGCCAAAGTTTTTATCTGATGTAAAATGTATAGAAATCCATTATTGTACGTAGTAATTTTTTTTCAGGGTCCCATCACAATTTCTTCAGAAGTAAGTACTGTATATGATGCCAGTATTTCCCACATTTTCTAGATACTGTACTAGTACTGTGTGTAAAATGCCATCAAAAAGTCAATTAAGTTTTATTCTTTCTCACCTGTATTTCTGTTCATTGATGTGCCAAATGAATGGTTTATGAAAATATATCTAAATCTGTCATTTATTATTTTTAATATTCAGTAATGATCATGTCTCACCTCTAGTCTTCTCTGTCTTAATTTCAGGTTTCCACCATGTGTTGTAGATAGTTCAGGAGGGTAACTCGACCAAGCCGTCTTTGGGTTTTGGCCAAGTACTGTTTAGAATACCAGAATAGGGAGGGTGGTGTAGGTTTAAGAAATATATATTGTTCTGTCACCATGTAACCATGTTCTGTTTAAATAGATTTTCCCTGAGAAAGCTACTCTTTAGTGCCCCCCTCTGGCATGACCTGGTGTAACATGCGCAAATCTGTCTCTGTTCTATGATGTCATCAGAAAGTGCATGCTATTGTTTGGGGAAAAGACTTCTCCTGTTCTCCTGTTCTCTGCTGTAGTGGCAATTGTCTCCCTTAAGA